CTGGTACTGTCAGAAATGACGTCCTCGAGTGATGTTGTGGTCACCATTGTGCTTGGGAGTCCTGCCGCCACTGCGCACGTGGCTTCTTCTGGCCCTGCTCGACCCGGCCTTTTCGTCTCCCCTCCTCCTTCGGCCTCCGCTTGGGTCTGTCAAGCACCACCCTTCCTCGGCCTCCGCTTGGGTCAGTCAGGCCGCCTTGCCTTCACCACCTCTGTTTGGGGACGACAAGCCTTGCCGCCTTCTGCTCCCGTCGTTTGCTTGTTTGAGCTCACACGCAGTTTGAGCATCGAGAGGGACTGTGAGAGCGGGTGATTGGAGGTTTTTGGCTTTAGAGGTTGTGTGCCGCCAGCATACGCAGCTCCGCGCCGTCCTCAGAAGCAGCGGATGGCCCTTCTTGTAAGGGGCACTTGGGCTTTGAGGTTCGAGTTGCGAAGGCCGAATGTTCTGATGACAGCCCATCGTCCCTGCCCCCGCCGCCGCATGGCACTTCAAAGCACATGCTCAAGACGACAGCACTTCAATGAACCGGCTGATAACGGGCTGCTCGTCCGACCATATGCCCTCAGCAGGCTGCTTGCGGTGCAAGGCAGTCAAAATGTTGCCGCATGCCTGCGGTCACGCATGTCCGTACCAGTAGGTTGCAGTCAAGCTTTCTGCCGCACCAGCGTCCTCATGCATGCGTCAGCTCATCAACAGGCCGATTCCGTTGTTGGATAACTGGCTTCGGAAAAGCTTAGGGAATGACATCGGTGGCCATCAGCAAACCATCAGGTCCCCATGCGCCACAACAACATAAGGATCCTGTTCTGGAAGCCAGGGACTGATTCCCGGTGTGACTGGGTTTGCCACTGACTCTTCGAGTGCTGATCTCGCAGGATTTCGAAAGATCTTTACGCAGTTCCGTGCTGGCGCTTTAAAGCGTGTCATATCAGATACCCACGTGAGGATCCCATGACATTTGGGACGGCCTGTTTGACTAAGGCACACAAGGATCTTGCGGATTTTTTTCGGACAGAGGCTACCAGACCGGACAGCCGGCTGCCACGACCAGTGAGACTCACGCCTTGCCGAAACCCGCGGCCGATTTCAGGAACCGGAACCTTGGACTTATTGCAACTGTGCGCAAGCGGGTGTGGCAGGAGCTTCACTCGCCTCCGTGCATATTTCTCTCAAGAAGATGCCAACCTGCACGACTCTTGTCACACAGACTTGTTGGACAAGACTGCTGAAGTGCTACGCGCGGCCTAAGTGCTCACAATTGGGGAGAAGTACTCATGCTGCAGAGTCGGACCTTCAGCCCTGCAGCTTGACCTCCCAGAGTCCAGGCCCAGGAGTGCAGAGGCATCAGGATTAGGATAAGTGGCGTCTCAATGTAAGGGATCTTTGCTGGGGAATCCTTCTCCATGGGACGCTTCTTCTGCGGAGCTTTCACTGCGACCTCGTGTTTTGACCTGTAAGCCGCCGGGACTTGCGCTATGCTCCAGAAGCGCAAGCATGGAAGCCCAGGATTCTGACAGCGCTTGATGGCACCCATCTGATGATTCACAAGTAGATTCTCTTTCTTGCCGGTCCGGTTTCTGGGCATCCCTGTGCTGAGCATACCAGCAACTACTGAGAGGATCGCTCCGGGTTTGTTTGGGGGCTGACTGTGGTATCCGCGTGTTAGAGAGTGTTTCATTGCCCTTCCGGCCCTCCTACGAGAGCAGATCTGGAGGGGCCGGCGCAGCTTCAGAGTCCTGTTTCAAAAAAGGTTCACACAAGCATGAGGAAGAGATTTGTACGACGCCCAGGACGCATGACTGCAGCTTGTAGTGCTCACATCTCCACATTGGGTACAATGACCTTCAGAGCCCCGCCCCATTTCCCTGCAATTGCGGCATGCTTTTCGTGGGATGCCGCCTGAAGCTGCGTCCTGTGCCAACTTTCTGGTTGTTGCGGTGCGGAGGTAGGTACAACAACACCAGCTGAGCCCACCCCTCCATTCCTCAAACCCTCTCTGAAGAATGCGCGAGTGGTGCCGTCTTTGAGAAAGGCACCCTTGGCCTTAGCGGGGGGGAAATGCTTTGCCGCACCCGCGCTGTAGCATATGCTGGGTTCTGCTTTTCAGACCTTGCCGCCCGCACGATCAAGCCCTTCTCAGCCGCTGGCATCTCCACTGAGGCAGTTGCAAACTTGTCAACTTGTCTCAAATGAGGAAATCTCAAGAACGAGAAGACTCCTTTTGGTTGGTTGAAGCATGAAAGTTCCAAGACCCTGTTGTCTCGGGGCAACTGGAGAGCAGACGTTCTTGATGCGATTCCAGCGCCCTAGATGCTGAGCATGTTTCCTAGCTTGGCTGCGTCCCCTGCCCGATGCGGATGTGCCGGGATGTCTTCAAGTCTCCCATGTTGACAGCATTTGACTCTTATTCTTGACTGGCAAACGTGTGCAACGATGCCAGGGTTTCTGCGCGCATGCTGGGGGGGTGTTACCTTCCAGGACCTCGTGAAGATTTCGAAAACCCGCACTCCCCACCTTCCCTGCAAAGGATCAGAGATGATGCCCCGCGCCTGGATCGCGTTGGAAAGCCCGTCCTCCGCTTAGATCCCTCAGATGCTCCAGATACAACTGACCTACAAGACGCTTGTCTTTGTGCTTCGTGCGCATCTCTTGTTTGCTTTCAGGCTTTCGGCTAGGACCAGGGCCCGGCTAGGATTGCCAACCGGCCGGCGCACAGCTACCCTTCAAACGGAAAGCGCCAGTTCTCAGAATTCTGCCGAGCATGTGGCTGTGGTCAAGTCCAGGATGCGTGCTTCCTACTGTCTGGTGCTTCAGCTTGGGGAGGCACATCTCTACGGGCAGTCCAGACAAGCGACAGCAAGCCAGAACCACCCCGCCAGCGATGTTCCTCTGGTCCAACGGCGTGCCCCAGCCTGGTCATCCGTACCTCCAACACAATCAGGTCTTAAGTCTCAAGTTGCTCAGTAGTTGCTCTATTGGGTGACAGGTTTCCGCAATGGTGATTTCAGCAGCCGGGCATGAAGAGAGCCTGCAAAGTCAGGGCATCACAACACATTAGCCTTCAGTGACGAGCACTTGGCAGTCTCCTTCATGCCCATGCTGCCACAGTTCTGTTGCTCTCAGATGATTTCGGGCCCTGCGTGCCGGATGGCTAGCGGCTAGCTCCAAGCCCTGATGTGAAGCAGTAGCTAGTATAGCTGCCGAGTCCCCTTGGCCTAAGTCCGATTCCTAATCCGAAGATTGTGGGTCCGAATCCCGCCGCGGATGTCTTCTTCACGCAGCACACGCCCTGCCATGTCTTGCAACTTGTCCTCACCTGCTGCCACTGCTCGCCTGCGAGTGCCCCGACGCGCATTCAAATTGGCAAGGACAGCAACAGCAAGCTGATTCGCGCGCGCGGACTGTCCCATTGCAAATGTAGCTGGCCAGACCTCTGCGCCAATCATATCTCGGCCACATGTTCACAGCTTGGAATTACGCCGACTCTTACAGCCAGCTTGACCTCGGCAGTTCCCACCGTAGGACATGCCAGAATGTGGCGCCTCCCTGAGAAAAGGGTTCCCCCCTCCGCCTAACAATAGGGGAGAAATTGTATTCGGAGAGTACTTCTTCGGGGGGGCAGGGCTCGGCGTGAGGGTGCGCTTGGGGGCATGGGGTTTAAAAGGGAAGTGGGAGGTTTCCGGTAGTATTTAGGATCCCGCAAAGCAAAACGCATTTTTCCGGGTGCTAGCAACATTGCCTGGACCTTGATCAGGAAAGCCTAGGTGAAAACACATAATTCCGGGTCGCTCGATTACAAGCGGTGCAACATCAAATTGACTGGGCGTTGACAGGGCAACGTGCATCTTCAAGACTTGTCAAGGCCCTCCGAAGAGAAGAGTCGCTTTTTGCCACTGCGCCTTCTGCTGCGAAGAGAGCGTCATGAAGTCGGTCAGGCGGCTCAGAAACAACCTACGGTTCTAGCCAAGAGCGCAGGATCGTTCAGAGACGCAAGAGGCTGCAGGCAGATGGTGCTCAGGGTTCCAGGCTTTGCGGCCTTTGCCTTCCATCGAGAAAGCGGAAACGAGCGGCCAACCTGTTTCGCCACCCTTTCCTTGTCAGGCTTTGGCTTTGCCACTTGGCCGCCTCGGTTCGTTTCCGCGCGGGTGCCTTTGAGGCACCGCCCATCACGTTGCAATTACGTCCTTTCTCCATCTGGCTCAGTGTACCAGAGGCTCAAGGTGGGCAGAAGTCGGAGATTTTGAGACCCAAAACAAAGACGCACAGCCGTGCCGTTGGCTCGGTGCGTCGTCTTGCGCCAGCATCTTGTGGAAATACCTGTCAGTCATCATAAAGCTTTCAGCGGAAGGACAATTCCAATCCACAGCCCGGCAGCAAAGCCCACATGAAATTTGATCCATGCCTTGGCACGTCAGAAAAGCCGAACTCGAAAGCCATGGAAGATGGCTCGTTCTCCTGGTTTCAAGCTCAGGAGATCGTCAAGTGCTCCACGTATACATAGACAAGAAGTACCCTAAAGTATGCTGACGCAGCCTACCACTTGCGAACTTGTCCTTCGTATGTCAGCAGGTCCTGTAGCATCAACTTTTTTGGCCCGGCGCGAGTCTGCTGGCCAGTGAAAGACTTCCCCAACTCCGTTCTGCCGCAAAGTTTCGGTTAAAGAAGTGATGCAGGAGGGGTCCCCAATATCAGAATCACCGCAAGGTCTTCTACAGGACTCCCCCCAAAAGTTGCTCAACGCTCCCCTGCTTTCGGTGAAGGGGCCCAAGCTTGTAAACTCCTGGAAGCAGCAGCGAATCAGGCTTACAGCCCATCTTGCGGATGTGCCTCACAGGCTGCTTGGCAACAGAAAGCCGCATTCATGGTTGCGGAGACCAGGGAGCTTGCAGAGATCATGCTACTGAGCCCTGGCCCTCACATGGAAGCTGCCGGGAAAAACATGTAAACGGCCCAAACCACAAAGCCTGAACCACAAATTGTGGGCTCTTGCCAACTTCGGCTTAGGTGGTGGAGAGGTGCAGCGGAGATCCCCGTCCACAGGAAGCATTCCAGCTGTGGCCAGCTTTGACCACTGGTGATATCAACTGAATGTCAAGAGCCCAGGCTAAGTTTTGGATTTCGGCATTTGGAATCATTTTGCAAGGAGGGGCGTGGCACCTGAAATAAAGACGCAGCGGCCCAGCGGCCCAGCCATCTCCCTGGGAGGTCACAACATGTGGTGCTGCCGCATCCAGGGCTTGGGCCACTTTCAAGCGTGATGGAGCCTTGCTGTCTTGGGAAGGCGACCTGCCTTCTGCAATGCTCAGCATGACAGCAGGGCAAAGGACCTGCACATGCTTGCCAGGTCTGAAGGAATAGCGGGTGATTGCGCTGGAGACTTGGGCTTGTAGCACAGGGCTCCCAAAAGGCTACAAGTCAGCAAGAAAGCCGAGTCCGCCGAGAGATTCCCTCGGCAATGCTCTCTGTTGCGTTCAGGGTTTGACTTAGGGCTCCCTCTTCTTGCTCCATGGCCACAGCATCAGCCGCAGTGCCCCAAGAATCTGTCCGATCTCCAGCGAACAAGTGAGGACAACTTCAGCGTAGTCAGTCACTGTTTGAAGCTTGCAGTCTGTGCAGTCCGCGAGGAAGCTCTGCAATGCAGGGACTGCGCCAAGCGCCATCTTCCTCGGCTGGAATGCTGACAAGGCAAACAGGTCTTGCAGAACCTGGTCGCCAGGGATCCATGCTGGGGTCTGCACTTGCTATGGCGCAAAGAGGCTGCCTTTTGAGGCGCCCTGCAACAGCCGATGCTCCCTTGGTATGCGGATCGTGGCATCGAAGGCAAACTTTGGTCCAGCAATCTGCCGGACGAAAGACTTGCACAGGCCACATCGCCAATCTCACATCCCATGAGGTTTTGGGTACTTAAGGGACCTTTATTCAGCTGGATGTGCAACTGAATCCTGAACAGAAGTCCTCCATCCTAGCTTCGGCAGCCAGCGCCTCACCGGCTGCACAAAACAAGATTCACCTGCGAAGCCTCTCCGGCAGTTGTGAGTGAGGGTTTGGGACGTGGCACCCTGACGTTCTACCGGAAAAGGCTATGCTGTTGAATGCTGCTGATCATGGGGCATGCCAGGGTCTCTTTCCTGGTCTACCCATCTGTTTGATCCAATCTTCGTGATCCTAAATATCTTCTCTCTTTGTAGTTCAAACCCACTTGACGCCAAAGAAGTTGGCTGCGTAGTGGACCGCACAAACCCAGGGTTTCAGAGTTGTGCTCGCTTTAGTATCCAGGGGTCCCCACCCCCTCCCGCACAATTTTGGGCTTTTTGCGTGTTCTACATAAACAGGGACGGGGTCTTGGCAAGGCAGGTAGGGGTCGAGGGTTGAGGGGAAGCCTTGAAGCTTGACGGTCTAAGCTTTCCAGGTTTGTTTTGGCTCCCCGGGCAGGGGAGCTGCGGATTAATGCGGGTAACCGAACCAATCTACGAAAGCGATTAAGGGCAGCTCGTGGGCTTCTTACTACTCCCTTGGAAAATTGTTTGGGCCTGTTTCGTAATGAAAAGCAAAAGGAATTTATGTAAAGCCGGACTCTAGAAAAGTCCGAAATTTTGTTTTCGGTTTTGGCTTCTTGGCCCGGCCCCTTCATCCCGGGCCGCGAACTACGCATAATTGCGGGTAACCCTTGGCAATCGGGGTACCCCTTCTATAGTTTTTCCGGAACTTCCTAGAATAGCGGTCAACGATACTAAAGCGGGTGCAACATTATGTTTTAGGCCACCATCGTTTCTGTAACCACGCCCGGACAAACCAAGGCACGGCTAAACCACTGTGTTTTGCGCAGCACTGTCCCATTTCAGTTAAACGTTTAAAACCATTTTCGGTATGGTTGTGTGGCCGAAACTTGGATGTGCACCGCTGGCATGGTGCATGTGGGGCTACGATGGATTCAACCAGACGAGGAAGCGTCTCCGTATCCGCTTTTCTGTGGCGACGAGTTGCGTTTAGCCAGTGTGAAATGCGGAGCATTTGCAACTCGCAGCCGTTTGTTGTCGCGAGTGCTATCTGTAGTTTAGAGAGTACTTCGAAGAGCCATGGCAGCAGTGTCAGGAACCGCCCTCGACAATGCTTGGTTTTTCGACGGAGCTGACGTTGGCCTTCCAGGTGCTCAAGCAACTCAAGCTGAACCTGTTCCAGAGGCAGCGGAGTTTTACGATGCGCAGGAGCAACGTGATCGTGCCTCGGCTCATCATTACTTGGCAGAGGCTTAGGTTGACCCATGTGCCAAGGCAATCCCGTTGTAGATTGTTCTTGGGCGGCTTCTGTTCACTGTTGAGTCACGCCAGCATTGTGTGCAGGGAGTGCCGCGATGAAGCTGACCGCCGAGGGGATCCAAACTCTCGCTCAAAGGCAGGGAAGTCTTCAAGAAACGGGGCTTGATACAACCTCGTCACTGCATTTTGGACTTCACTGGCAAAAATGATGTGTTGGTGCAGTGTCAGGAGGTGAATTTCAGAATGTTCTGAGATTTAAGAGAAGTCGATTGAAGAAAGAGAACTAGCAGAAAACCGAAGACCTCCGTCCCGCGATGTCATTGCCTAAGCTCCGAACTGCCATAGGATCAAGATGTTGTTGCTTGCGTGAGGTGCCACGATCTGCCTGCTGCAAGCAAGGACTGAGGCACCTTTTGCAAAGGCAACGTCGTCAACAGGTTTGGAGATCACGGCTTCGCAATGCGCTTGTGAACTCGTTTATGAGGTCGAACTTGACAGTGCCCAGTTCCATTCTTTACGGATTCTTGTAAAAGTCGGCGGAGCCTTCGAAGCGCTAGCAGTTGGCAGGGTGCTAGGCCGTGGCAGGATGATACGTTTTGCTTTTTGCATGTTGATGCCACAGTTTCTCGGTTCTTAAACTGCCTTTGCCACGACTGGACAGATGCGCGAGAGCAAGTCACCAGGTTCATTCCAACTTCCCGCAGAAATCTGAACAACATTATGCCTTGAACCTTCCGTCTGAGATGGCATCCTCCGACTTGCAGGAAGCATGCGAAGTGGCTGAGCTGGTCCGTGATGCAGCTCGCAGCAGCAAGTTCAGGATAGGGAGTTTGTCGGTTTACGGTTCAATATTGAGCTTCCAGGGGCAGATGTCAGAGCCCACCGCTTACACGGTACGAGACCTGAGCTCAGCTCTGGGTGCAGCCTCTCCTCGTCCCTCAGCTGTGCAGTCCAAGTAAGGCCACCAAGAACATGCTCAGTTGCGTGGATGACAAGTCAAAAGGGTGTCACAATGGTCTCCTGGACATGATCGACGCGCGCGAACGCCAGCTGGGATTGGGATGGTTGTGGTTTTCTTCAGGGGTAGGGCGTGAATTGCGAATGAACACAAGTAACAGGGAAGGGGGATATTGTGTAGGACTGTTCCTAGAACCTCGTTCATGTTGTTGATTGCTGCCCTCAAGTTTTCCCTTGAGCTCGAAGGTCAACACTTGTTGTACTAGCAATCCAGCTGCCACGCCACCTATTCAGTCTGCGCAGGCAGGCACTTCGAACTTGTGCTGGCCATTGGCAAGGGAGGTCACCAATGCGGAAACCTTGTTCAAGCTGTGACGGATCTGTACCAGAGGATCGACAAGATTTTTGACATCGCAGGTGCGCAGGGTTCCAGAGCCAAGGGTCGTGTGCGTGTGAAGTGAGCTTGAGGACTGCTTCCTTCTTTTGCTTGGGAGGCTCTGGAAATGCTGGGAGCAATGTTAGCTTTAACAGCAAGTTCGTCCAACAAGAGCTACAGCGTCTGGATGGGGTGCTGGCAGACCTGGTTGAGACTGAGCAGACGCTGTCCAAGATCAGCAGCGCAGAGCACCGAGAGAGCCTCATGATCGCAATCCAGGCTGTGTCCAAGCAGCTGTGTACGTCTGACATCCTCGCCAACTTGGCGGAGACTTTGGAGATGCACAGCCGCCTTGCAGAGGAGCAGAACAAGGTCCACTTGAAGCGCGGTGAGAAGCAAGCTCTTGTATGGGTGGCAGAGGCTGAGATGAATTCGCACAAGACCCGCTTGGAACATGCCAAGGAGCATCGCCAGAGAACAAAGAGCAGCGGGACAGCAATCAGTGGCGCGTGGGTTGATGTTTTTTGCTTAGTTGCATTTTCAAGGAGACTGCGTATTGCTGGGTGCATCTTTTCCCAAATGATGCAGGCAGCCTCGATGCCAAGAAGAAGGAGCTGGAACAGCTGCAAACGCGGGAAAACATCTCCCGGGAGGACCTCCTGCGCAGCCACAAGGAGCGGAAGTTGCAGCTGGAGAAGCAGTTGGAGGAGCGCTGTTCCGTGACCTGTGTCGGCGGCTAATGCGAGTTATCACCCCAAGAGATTTTTCTGAAAGGACCTGAGAGCAAGGGCGGAGAAGGAGCAGGCCAAAAGCAAGGCGCCCATTGACCTCTGCCAGGACAAAACCTTGGAGCTCCAGAAGCAACTCCTGAATCTATCAGATGTTTCAGCAAGACTTTTGATCAACACGTATCAACGATATCAATATGTGGAATGCGGGTGGCTGCGGTATGTTGTAATCTTGTGTGCATACCCGACTGAGTGATGCTGAAGGAACCTGGACTCGCTGAACATCAATCACATCATCCTCGTGGTAGACAAAAGTGGAAGCATGGACGGACGCCGCTGGAGATCATTGCTTCGTGCTGTCGATGCTTTTCAAAAAGCTTGCGTTGCTAAGGGCTCACAGGACCGCGTGGACCGTTTGGCATGGCGACGTGCGTGTGGAGCGATGTGTTGAAAAGAAATATGATAAGACATCAGCAGTTCTTCTGCTAGGATGGGCTGGCATCCATGATGCCTTGCGCTTGTTGTACCTGTCAATGCTGCAGGACAAGGTGAGTGTGGTAACCTTCGACGTTCAAGCCACAGCCCTTGTGAAGGCAGCCCCGATCACGACTGACATTGCGACCCGGCCATTTTGGCAATGTGCAAGAACGCTTGAGCCCAGCAGCTTAGATTTCGTGCTTCGCATTGGGCCGGCACCCGTGTGTGAATACCACTACCATACAGCATTGGGCACGCAGGGGTCGGCAGAGCTTGCATGTCGTACCTTGAGCTGTTCTGCAAGTGCAGGGTTCTTGCACTTTCATGTAAGTCGCCCTTTGTGTCGGTTTTCAAGGTCGGTACTTTGAGAAAGGTGACCCCAGATTGGCAAACAGCATATGCACCTGCGTGGAAGGCAGTTCAGGAGCTACTGCGCAGTTTCTTCCTGCACAGAGCAGTCTGATAAGCTTGTTCCGATATGTTGCCCATCAAGTCTTTGTGGTCAGGAGCGCGTCGCGGGCGAACCAACTTTCGCTCGTATCTTTGTCGTGTTTCTTAGCGACGGGCTGACCAGCATCGACGACATGAATGCGGCAGTCGCAATGGCATCTCGTGTACATGCTGATGCCGCGGCAGCGAACAGATCTATGTGTGCCTTCTTCGTGCATGTGGAAGACACGCCATCCCCTCAGATTGAAGGACATCTTATGCCGCTGGTGAAGGCAGCAAATGGCGGACAGAGCAGTAAGGCCTGCGGTGAGTCTGTTGTGGACCTTCTTCGGCCCGTGAATACTGAAGACTTGACTTCTCACTTTGACCGATTGGCCAGCTATGTCAACATGGAGAAATGCGTGTTGGAGAGCAGACTTGCCATGGTCAAATCCCAAGAGAGGGAGATGAGAGCAAAGAGCACCGAGGAGACAAAAGCCGTGACACGGCTGTACAGGGATCAGGTACAAAGCATCACCAGGGCCAGCAAAATCGCCGAGAAGGGCATGAGGAACGATCAAAGCAAGCTGCAGGAGCTGTTTGCAGGTATGGTGGCAGAGATGCAGGAGGAGGTGGGGATACTGGAAGCGGCTCTGGACAATGCAGAAGGAACGGTTCTGGCGCTTGAGACCCTGTGCAAACAGAGTGAGGCAGCCTTCTTCGCAGCCAAAAGTGACTTTGATCAGGGTGAGGATGCGTTCAAACAGACTTGCGGCAACCTCTCGAAGATGTGTCTGAATCAAGCGAAGCAGTTGGAGAAGATCGGCGATCAGCAGGGCCACTTCCTGGAACAGTTTGGCACCACGGACGCGAGGCTTTTGATGCAGCAGTTGCAGACTTTAAGCCGGCTTACGAAGCAGCTGCAGCACAGCAGTGTCATCGAACAGGACAGCCAGTTTGGGCATGCCATGATGCGTGCGCCGAATATTGTCCTGTAGGATGTGGTACGCTTGAACATAAAGAAACGATCCACAGCGTCTTGTCACCACCGTGTCTGTGCGAGGACCTATGCTGCATGGTGCACAGCATGGTCACCTTTACCAACAGCCTGAAGGATCAGATCATGGACCCGCTTCCAGGAGGCTGAGGGGTTTGAAACGCTGCGGATTCAGGGCCTCGAGTGGTGCTTGAGACATGTATTGGGGTTTGTGAGTAAGGGTTGTATGCGCAGGGACTGACGCAAAGCTAGTTATAGTCATAGTTTGCCCATCATGGACATGTCCTTGCACAGCCTAAGAGAGTGCATGGTAGAATGTTGAATGATGATGAAGCTTGTCATTGCAAAAAACGACCTGCTGTGCAGGCACGTCCAAGATCTCCAAAGCCAAGGCCGGTGATTTGTTGCAGGTTCCGAGTGTAAGATCGTGCTTGCCACCAAGATCGTGCTTGCTACCATGGAGGTTGCGGGCCATTTGGAATATGAGTGCAGGGACGGCCTATCGCCGTTGTTTTAGCTCATGGGGTACCTTTGGTCCGGACTTTGCTTCGCCTGCGGGAACGGTGTGTTGTTTGAGCATATGCTTTGAACTGTTGCTGAATCTGAAGCATGCTTCCTGAGGCGCGGACGTAGCCATCAAGGCATCTTGTACAACGTAACGCAGCAACGCAGCTCACAGTGAAGAACAACAACCAAACAAGGGTTCCAGTCGGAACCCTTCACCTTGTCTGTGCATGTCTGTTCCACGCGGCTGTATGTGCAAGTTGGAGGTTGTTCTGAAGAAGCTCTTGAAGCAGCGGCATCTTGAGTACAAGGCAGGATAGTTTCATACAAGTTTCTAGAGTGCAATTTGCTCATTGGTACGTGTAACGCCCCGCTTTCAAAAGTGTAGTCGTCTTGCCGATGCTGTGCATGGCAAAACTCCGATAGGGGACACCTGACACAAAGTGCATGCGTGTGTACGTTCTCGGCATGCATCTTGCCGTCATTGTTTATGTCGTGCATGTGTGTGTGCAAGTGCATCTTGTGCATCACGCTTACATGTTGATGGGGGTGCGATTGAATGCAGCAATACATGCTGCACATTTGTCGAGTCCGCCGTGCATAGTGGTTAAAATGCGTACAATGTTTGCGCAATGTTGAACCGAACCGAAGAGCAAGGGCGTTGCCTTGCAAGGATCTGCCGGAGGAGGACATGCAGACTCTGCCCCTGGGCACGCTTAAGTCTTCAGAGACCCTGTTGCGGCCTGGTATGAAGCACGTGCTATTGGAGTTGTCAAAAGGCTTGCAAGAGGTTCAAAGTAAAAAGCGCAAACTGTAGTGTGAAGCACTTCTCCGGTCATGGAAGCCGCTGGAAGCTGTTCCGTCCTCATCGTCCAAGGTTGAAGTATGAAGCTACGGTGCAACGCCTTGATCCAGAGGACATTGATCGTTGGCCACGTCGTGTTGAGGGATAGAGACACAGGTTTAGATTGCCCGTAGGGGTAGACGGTGAGTGTCCAGACTCCCTGCGGAAAGGATCTAGGATGTGTGAAGCAAGATTGAAAAGTCTTGAAGTTAGCCCAGACTGAGCAGCTACAGACAGCGTAGGCCTGAGCGATCGTCATCGTGTAGACCGTGTAGAGGAATTAAAGAAACTCGAGCAAGAGTTTCATACCTGGCTGTTTAGGGCTGTGTCCATCATGGGTGAGCCCGAGGACGTTTGCAAGCCCATCCTGTCCGCCGGTATCACTGCAGAGCGTGCGCGTCTGCCCTTCGTTGACCTCCCTACACAAGGAATCTTCACCTCAGCCCATAAGCTGCTCGTTGTACGCGTGATGTGTAGGTCTGGCCATGCTGAAAGCGCCAAGTTTTCAAAACTCCTCAAGTTCTTTTCTTGAGCGCTTCTACCTCTCCGCAAGGGTTCTGATTGAACACTGGTACATGTTCTGTGAAACGACCCTATGCTGCGTTTTATGTGCGTATGTGATGAAGACGTGTATGTGAAAATGCGCAGGTATTTGCGAGGCCGTGGATGAGATGGACAACGAAAAGGTCACAGAACTAAAGAAGGCTGGAAGCATGACTTGGGCATCATGAAGTCGCACATATTTCCTTCCTGCGTGTGCTGGATGCATGCACATCTGTGTTTCGGCACATTCACATGAAAAATGCTGGATGGAATGCTGGACATGTCTCAACAAGTCACGAAAGCATACGGCTGAACCAGCACACTGGACGCTCATGTCTCCATGTGTCATTCTCCTTCCAGTACATGCCCAGTTGATTTGCTGGTTGCCGCCAGCGGCTGTACCGTACACAACGCATGAACGCTTCATTCATCCACCGTCGTTGAAAGACAGGCTTGTATCTTGACCACGTCGTTTGTTGCCTCACTTGTTTCTGTCAGTTCTTGAAGGGGTGCACCTTCGTCAGGTCTGAGCAGAGTCTGTCTGTCGTCTACTGCCGTCTCTGTGTGTGTGTGTGCTTCCTTCCTCAGCCCGCTTCCTCGGTTCGGAGCAGCACTATGTTGCAGAGTAGGCAGGTCCTATTCAAGAGCCTCCGGCTGAAGCAACACTCTTCAGCCGTGAAAGTGGGAAGAAATGCCCGACTGTGTCCTGGACAAATTCGTTCGCCTATGGGCACGTTTGGGGCTTCTTTCGACCCTCGCGGCTGAGCAGCTTCAGTGGCTGTTTGGAGACAGGTGCTCTGACCGAAACGAGAAACAGGGCCTTTCAAACCAAAGCTCGGGAGGCCGCAGGGAGTGAGCAGAGGTTGCAGCTTGAGGGAGGTAGTGACCAGGGAGGGGGAGGGGGAGCGGAGAGGGCGGTGGCAGGGGAGGCTGGAAGGAGTCGTCATGAGAAAAGGATTCTTGGCATGCCCTAGCTGGGGTAGAGAGTTTAGGGTTTGGGTCAGGCTTTAGGGCGAATTCCTAAAACTATACATCCTAAGGGGCAAAGCTCAGACTTATGCTCGCGGCCAGGACCTGGTCTCAGTGGTTCAGCAGAAGGCCTTCGAACTCGAGGAATGTGACACGCAGGAGATGACAGTCAACAGACTTGGGTTGAGTCACTCACCTGTGAGCTTCTAACTTCTTGTGCTTGCCGTGTTTTTTTGGCCTGGAGGAGATTGACGAGACGAAAAGAAGCAAGAAGAAAGAGCTCAAGAACAAGAAGGCTTCCGAGAGAGCAAAATGACGCAATGGAAAAATATCTTGAGACTCCAGAAAGTGTTCTCTGGCACTTTATGGTGCCACATGGGGGGCTCTACGAAGATGGGGGTACCTTATTGGGCTCCTTATTCTAAAGGAATCCTACTAGTTGTTGGGGGTCTATACTAGGGGTTCCCTATTGTCGTGAACCCTCACGTCAAGCTAGACTCGGTTAGACTGGTGTCTCGGCATCCAGGCTGAGCTTACGAAGAAAGAGACGGAGTTAAAGCAAGCTCGCAAGACTCCTTCCAAGAGCAACCTCAGCACAAGTCGCTCGTTCAGCAGTTCGTTTTTGCTGCTCTGTTTCAGGGGATGTGCAGATTGCCGAAAGTGCGGGTTTGTATGTGACCCCTCGCATACTTGTGATGGCTGGTAGGTTAGGACTTGGTTCCAGACTTTGTGGCAGATAACGACCCAGACGTGACTTGTGGATTGCACGATGCTGATGGAGGTGACGAAGACAACGACTCCACCTGGGAAGTCGTCGAAGAAGCGAGGGAGCAGGTGGATGACCTCAAGGACGAAATCAAGGACCTGCCGCAGACCGCAAACGGCCATCTTCGCTGAAATGAACCTTAAAATTGGGGTCATATACCCTATCATACCATAAATTCTGATTAAGGTATATATGAACCATAAGCCCCATGCGGTGTGCTTTGGAGGAGCTCGAAGATGACATCAAGGACCTCGAAGGGCAAGCAAACGGTTTCGTGGCTGAAGCCATAGACGTAAAGGGTTCCCTTGGGTTGCAAGGGCCTCAAGGCGTGCTTGCTGGTTTACGTGTGGCTTCGTTGCTCGGTCAAGGTGCGTGTCTGATGCGAGCAGGCCGCCCACACTCCGAGCTCCACTCCCACCTCATCTAGAAGTCTAAAGGTGCAAGAAAGCCGCAAGCCCCCCTCATGAGTCCCGTGCTTAGATGAAGGCCCACCTTACAAACTTCATCCGAGGACTCAAGAAAGCTCAGCAGGCTATGGGCTGGTTTTAGAGTCAGCGAGCTCCGTGTGACATCAGCGCTTCTGTGTCGGGCTTCCGCCGGTGTTTCAGAGGAGTTTATATAGATTTAAGCAACCTTCAGGATCAGGGCTCTTTGGAGATCTGCTTTCAGGGAGGCCGGTCGTTCACACGCCGGGTATCGTGAGCCTGCGGGAGTTTGGAAGAAAGTTGGCTGCTGTGGGCTATTCCAACTTTCGAAGCTTGTGCACTCGGCCTCTGCATCCATGTGTTCTGCACCTCCATCCTGGCCTTCGCCAGGCAACAGCCAAAAAGTTGGAACCCTGCACGCGCACACTGCAGTGTCTTGGATGGTGCATTCCGATGCAGGCCTGACATTTAGGCAAGTTGTGTTCAGGCAGGCTTGCGTGTTGTCTGTGCCGCAAGGCTTCCAGGCTCAGTCGTCCCTGATAGTGTTGGTGAGTTAGCACAGGATGTAGGACATTGTCCGGTTCCCAAAGCGTTTTGTTGAGACCTCATTGTGCAGTTGCTTTCGTTGACGGTGTTGGAACTCCACATCTAGATGAATAACGAACGTTCGGCACCTAACTGCAAGGGCTGTGGGAATCAGCCCTGCACCTTCCAAGTGCATCCAAGGCTCGCTGTTGAGATTTGCTGCACCACTTTTCGGGAGCAGGTGGCTGAAGAGGACGCTGTCAAGATGCGCGCGCTCTGTCTTGCATTTGCTTGGAAGCCTGCTCAGGCTAGCTGGAACCCTGAGACATACTGACATACAATAAGAGGCTCTGCCTGTCAGGGCACCTCCGAAGATTTCTCGCATGAACAGAAGACTCTGAGACAAAAGCATGGCACATCAGGAGAAATCCGCGTTGCGCAGCACCTTCGAGTCCTTTCGACGCTTGATCGCAGGGTCTAAGCTGTTCAGAGCCGCTAAGGGCTGGTTCACGACACGGTTCAGGAGAGCTGACTTTAATTGTTGGATGGACGAGGGTTCTGGCAGCCCATGTGAAGTTAGGTTTACAACCGGAACCGAACAGGAACTTCCAGCCTTCTGTCACCGTCCCCGCACTAGGGAGCTTGGGATGTGCGCTCGCAGTTGCCAATTTGTGACCAAGACGGCTTTTACAGGAACGAACATCTACAAGCCGATGAGCGACTTCGTTTCGATGGCTCAGCAGGCCAAGAGCATCCCAGCTGAGCATCCTCGTTTCCTTATGTTATGCCTATGAGCATGGAAAGCCTTTCTGCTGTGCCGCATCTCCGGCTAATGTGCGTAATGTGCTGGGTGCTTTGGGTCCTAACCCTAAACCCTAAAAACCCTGGATGGCAGTCCGGACCTAGCGAGGAGCCTTTGTAAAAGAAGTCATCCAACCGTCCTCTGAGAAAAGGCGAGAAGCTTCTACATGATTTTGGCACTGGTGCTTTGTACCTGATGTTTCGGTCGGTTGTTGGGATGGGTCTTCTACTTGCTGACTTCATGTCCATCGGAGGCCCCTCCCCCCCCACCCCGGAGGAGGCCCTCAAGACTTCATGAGTTCTAGTCTCACCTTAGCAGCAAGCTGCAACTGAGAAAGTAGCTGGTGTCTGAGATGGGAAATGGTTCTGGGCTCTGGGAGCCCCAGCATGACATGAGTCATGAGTCCTGAAATACTGAACAGAACCCCTCTTTGAAAGCAGCTTGGCTTGGTAGACGGACCCCACAGAAAGACACAAACTCAAGGCATGTTCACGGACAGCTCGTCGATCCAGCCGCCGACTCTCCTGGGCGCACGTGGAAGCGGCAAGCAAATGGCTCTCCAAGATTCTGAGTGAGGTTTCAGGTGGTTTTGTGCTATAGATCAGGAAACAAGAAGGTAGAGGAATTATATATGCCAGGGGATGTGTTCTGGCCTTTTGTTTCCTGACAGGATGGGATTTGGTGATGGCCGAGAAAGTTTTCACGTTATCCTGCAACATGTCAAGTTCACGATCTCAATCTTAATTGTTGAGGTCATGTTGTCAGGCTCGTCAGCCAAACTCAACGTAGCATGCTCCGCGACAAGTCCGCCGCGGGCTGTACAGTAGTAGACGGTACAGTTTTGCCGTCAGCAGCATCACACCGAACATTTGTTAGAAGTGAACTAGGCAGCACAGGTAAACGCTGGGACAACGTGTTGAGATGTTCGTGATGATGCTGCGCCGTTCCGAAGTTGAGAAATCCAGCGAAAGCCGAGCTTTCCTTTCGTTCTCAAGTTGTTCGAGCGTGGGACGCCTAATCTATTCATAGTGAACAAACCTTCAGATCACCGCACTGGGACTCAAGAGGTGTTCATACTGTTCTTTTCACGACAGTTCTCGTGAGCAGGCAAGAAAGAGCATGAGCGGCTTGCAGGCTGGTCCAGGGAAGCATGAGCCTGCCAAAACACCAAGAAGCTTTGGCAGGAGTGCGGTTCCTGACATCTGGAATCTCACGTTATCATCTGGAACTTAGTGGGCACTTCGTGGGCACAGCACTGTTGGACAACAAATCCACCGACAAGCATAGAAGCACTGTTTCCTAGCATGTCCACTTGTGCAGCAGAAGGCTGCCCGCTGCTTACCCAAGGTCCGGCGCTGTCAGAGCCGAGAGTATGGTTGAGGGCGTTAATCTTGCATTGTGTGGCCTTCGGCCACTGTGCATGTGATGGGCCTGTGCATGTGATGGGTACTGTCATTCATTGTAGGCGGCTTGCGGCAATGGGTCTGCATTGCATGTTTGGATCAACTTCTGTCGACATCTTTCCAACACACGGTACGGCAAAGACCTAGGCCGTTTCGAAAAGGGCATGCTGTTAGACGGCTTTCCAAGATGCCATCAAATAGTAGCTAGCAGGTCATTCGCAGGCTTATGCAGGCTTGCTTCATCTGGTTCGGCCTTGCAAGAAGCTTTGGAGATGGAGGTTTGGCATGCGTCCGACTTGCAGCAGTTCTTTCGGAGATTTGAAGGGGGCTTGTGGAGGGCTCCTGTCTCATGTAGCCAGGCAGCAGTTCCGCACTAGCGGCCCAACTGCATGAACGAGTCCATGAGCAAAAAGGCTTTGAGCAACCAACCCTGCTGCCGAGCCCTGAGTGTTGGAGCCACCCCTGAAACACCCTCTGAGAACGCACAGACTGACGCCCGAATGCACGACAGAAGGCGGAAGGCGCGTAGGAGGGACAGCAGCGACTCTCAGCAAACCAGTAGGCAGTACAGTGGCATCACCGATAGAAGGAAGTCGGCAGTGGGAGATGAGCATCACAAAGCTAGTGCCTTCAATGGCGTCGTCAGACCTCCAAAGCCCCCTCAACAGCCCCCTCTTCCTCTTACCGGCTGGCACGAAGAACCTGCGGAGCCACTTTGCCCCCCTAGGACGTTGCCAAAACGTAGAGGTTGGCGAGAGCGGACCTCACCCCCCAAAGCCCAAACTCAACCCTGAACTCTTTAGGGTGCAGGGCTCAGGGTTCGCAGAGCGATACCGCGCCCTTCTGTTGCAGCTCGCGTATATGCGCTGTTTGGTTTGCTGGTGTTTTTGCTCGGCGGTCTAAATTAAGCATGCAGCTCCCGCAGAAGCCTTTGTAGATGCCATCGTCTACCCATGGTTGTGGATCTTTGCGTGCTGGATGCTAAACGCCAGCAGAGCTGCTTGGCAGCCAGCTTGATGTCGAGCACCAGTTGCTCTTGCTCCGAACTGGAGGGCGGGCTCACGTCATTTTCTTTCAGCTGAGGGGAAGATCGGCTTGATCAGTATCAGCACGAATGCATTAACCACATCCTCTGCAAGAACGTCATTCTTGTCCTTCCAGCCAGTGCAGGCAAGGAAATCGAACCGCCCTTAGGGTTGAGGGTTGAGGGTTGAGGGTTGAGGGTTGAGGGTTGAGGGTTGAGGGTTGAGGGTTGAGGGTTGAGGGTTGAGGGTTTAGGATTGAGGGTTTAGGTTTTAGGGTTTAGGGTTTAGGGTGGCTTAAACCACAAATATGAGGTGGCTGTGAGGGCCCCTCCCAGCTTGTTTTCCCCCCTAAGCCCTAACCAGGCAAGTCCGCGGTGCTTGCCCGATGCATCGAGCGCCTCTGCTTGGACGCCCCACCTGAGAGCAACAAGGAGCCTGGGAGTTCGGGAAGTTCGGGCTTAGGGTTCTGGTTGTGCTTCAGAGTTCAGAAGGCTTGGTGCAGGATGCGAATGCTCACCCTGCATTCCTTCAGAAGAGCCGTTACAGCATTTCCTAGGTTCACGAGGTCACGCGGGATTTGGCAGAAGAACTTCTGATTGACTTCACTGAATAGTTTGCCTGGGAGGTCATGCTTGTGATGCCAGAACAAGTCGGTCACCAAGCCCACCTTATCCGGCAGCAATGCGCGGGCAAACTGCGCGCGACTTGTATTCATTGATCGTCAGAGGGAGGCGCTGTTGTTCCGATTTCGGGTTCCATCACGGCCATGCTCCTCACCTCAGAGTTCAGGGTTTGGGCCTAAACCTTAAACCGTACACCCCAAGCCCCGCCCCTCCCCCGCGCCCCCCAAACGTGAATCTCTAAACCCGAAGCCGTCTACGAGGTAATGCCGCTGGGGCAGTGGCAGAACCAGTGGGACAAGACTTGCTGGGATCGATGCGTCGAACCCTT